GACTCTACAGCCTCTCAGTCCAAAATCAGCCGCAGCGACCGCAGCGACGGCCGCGAGCGGCGCGAGCGTAGCCGAACCACGATCGACGCGAGGACGCAACCACACCAAACTTGGCCTCCCGCGACGGGGACGCCACCACCCTTGCTTGCTTGCCTGCAGTTTGTGTCCAGAGACGCCGGCCGCGTCACCGCCGTGTGTTGAATGTAAGTCTTGACACTGCTCGCTGTGTGCTGCACTTGCTGCTCGGCGCCGAGAGAGACGCGAGACGCTGCGCGTTTGTGTGCTGTGTTTATGCTTTATCTTCGTGGATAAACTGGAAAGCGAGCGAGCGTGAATTTTGCGACTGGAAGAAAGAAGGCGGGTATGTCGCGGATCGTCAATAAATAACACCGCGTACACCGTGTCGTACACCGTACAAGGTACATGTCAAGGGAGAGACGCGCTGTGTTGAGGTGGGTGAAGTGCCGCGCCGCGGCGAGGTGCGGCACAGGCACACACAAAGACACACGTGCACGCGTCGTACGATGAAGCATTCAGGCTACTAGAGGCCTCACAAGAGGCTGGTGCATTGCCATTCATGCTACTAGATAGGAGGCTCGTCGGCATGCTACTAGAGGCCTCACAAGAGGCTGGTGCATTGCCATTCATGCTACTAGATAGGAGGCTCGATCGGCGCGCACGCGTCGTGTCCGACGCGTAAATGGTGTATCAGCGCGCCGCGAGCCGACGAAACGTTGAGCAGTGCTGTTTGCAATGCCCAATGCCGCATCGCCCAAATCGCGCCGGCCCCCACGTCCTCTACGCTGCCTGGCGCACTCTACGAACCCCCGCGGCCGAGAGGCGCGAGACCTGCGCCGCCTCGCAAAGGTACGAGACGCCCCTGGCAAGAACCCCCCCCCGAGTTGACATTTGGCGTCGAAGATTTAAGATATGTTCCGCAGGCTCAGAGGTTACGCTACGACTTCTCGCGCCGGTCCACGATCTTCGTGAAGGCATCTGATTCAATCCATAAACTCCATATTAACAAATTGGGATATCCTGCCCCTGTGTCCCACCAAATCTGGCCTGATGTCTTTTTTGCCCTGT